GCACTTTCCGCAATATTTCCAGCGCATTTTTTGCGATTTATGATCCGTGCGCGCTCCCTGCCGGCAATTGCAACGGATATAAACATTTTTGAACTCATTTCAACTTCACATATTTGCCAGCTATCTGCCATCCGTTATCTTCTATCTGCCAGAAGGGGGCAGGGATTAGAGGGGAAACGTTTATGCTGCTGCCTCATGAAATGGCACGTGTCGCTGCTGCGAGTACCTCTACGGCTAGATACGAGTGTATATAAATTTCGTTCACATCTCTTTTTGTGCGCTTGTTGTTAGCTCGGCAAAGTCGGTGCAATCCAGTGTGCTTATGTTTCACTTTTCACAACATAAATCCCCCAAGCAGCCGTAGCCGCAGACTCAGCCAGAGTGCTGCAGGTAGTCAACTAGCATGCCTGCTCCTAGATACAGATACGCAGATACGAAGGTACAAAGATACAAAGATACAGCTGCTTACTTAGCAGCAAGTTAGACAAACTTCTCTGAGCCGTTGAGCAGAAATGTAAAACGCTGAGCTATTTATTTAGATACCCCCGCGGCTTTGCAGGAGTCTTTTGTCAAGCAAAAACTGTAAAGGAATCTGAGCCATGCATTATGCTCACTTCGTATTATTATTATTATTTGCTGGCCCGTCTGACAGCTAAAGGCTTACGGCACAGCTCCAGCTCCTCTAAGCTTAGCTCCTGTTCCTGCTCCTGATCCTGCTCCTGCTCCTGCTCCTGCTGTGCTCTACTCACATAACATATAATTCAGCTGCTTTGAGAAAAATCAAAGTTCGCTTTGCCAAACGACAAAATCATTTCGTCTTAAGTTTTTTCCTCTCCTTTTCTTATTGTGTGTTGGGCAAAGTATTATTTAAATTTTTCGCTCCAGCCGGCCTTTTAATTTTCCATATTTTTGCGTTCTTTATTTAGCACAAAGTAATGGCTGCGCGGCCATATTAAAAATACAGAGTGTACATATTTAAGTGCATCACAGCCGCCCAAAGAAAAAGTGCAACAGCGTGGCATTGGAGCAGCGGGCGAGAGAGTCATAGAAGATGGCGGATAGCGAAGGCACCGTCAGAACTTTGGAAATTATTACTTTGCTTTGTTTTCATTGCATTCAAGAAATGCGCTGCCGCTGTTGATGATGTTGCTGCTTCCCAGCCGGCGGCTTGCTCCAGACTATCTGACTGGACTATCCGTAAGCCAGACTCCCGACCCCTAGCTCCTAGCAGCCGCAGGCTATCTGTGGTTTAGTCTCGTAGCACCTACAAACTCATCTTCGTCAGGTCAAACTTTAAAAATAATAATTTAATTATAAAGAACTTGCAGCCCCTAAGGCCCCATAATCCTATCGCCGCCAATGAAGTTGTTGGATTCTAAGAGCTAAATATATGTTTAAGCAATCTTCTTTGATTGTTTAGCATTTCCGCTAATTAATTCAAGTTCCTAGAATGATTCACAGTTTCTATAAAATCCATTTAAGTCTTTATTATTGTATACCTTCAGTAGTGCATATAGTTATACTCAACTTTCACTTCAGTTACATAGATGTTTAATGTATTTCGGCGCTTTAAGTTTTGCAACTGCCTTGAAGCGAAATCGTTAATCAAATATATTATTAATTCCACGGCTGTAGCTCATCTTGTTGTCCGTATGCGGTTTACTAAATATATCTATTAAGCTGACTCTCGGCTAGTACTTAACGGCTTCTCCATTTCTATGGCGTTGCCGTCTCCGTTTGGCTGCGAGGCATGCATTTTCACTTGCTCATTAATAACGTAAACCAAGAGCAATACAACACAAGTTGCAACAACTTCGAAATAATAATAACAACAACAAGGAAAGCTGAAAACGTTGACTGGCCACGAAACTTCTACGAAAAACAAAAGTCAAAATTGAATTATGAATATTTAAAATGAAATTTAAGCATTGCAGCAGACGCAAAAGCTGCTCTTAACACTCACGAAAATCCGATACAGATACTAACTAACTCCAGTTAGTTATACCATATACTATTCTATATAGCAGGCGAAACGATGGTGTCGAAACAATTTGCGACACTAGTGCAATTAATAAATAGTAAATGCGCCCAAAAGTATGCACTAAAAATATGCAACAGTAAATTCCGTTGCATGGGCGGGCGACAACGTTGCCTAAGTAAATGTCAAGCCTGGCATAAATAATTCACCGGCAACACAGCTTCAACAGCTCTGGCAACATCATCAACATATACAAACAAACGCGCACACGCACACACGCACACATGCACACGTGCACTCACACATTTGCATTGTCCTTGCATGCAACATCATGCCTCATAAATTTGAGCAAATGCAGCCATGTCAGCCAGCTAGTCACTCAGTCAGTCAGTCATTCAGTCAAGAGTACCTACTGCCCCGCTACCGTGTTTAGGTCCTGACTGTTGCTGTCCAGCCGCACCGTTTCGTCACAGGAAAATCGCTCGAGGTGAAAATCTTTGCACTAATGGCGCTGTTTTACATAATTGCCGTGACATTGTACAAATTTATTCAACTGCATGCGGGCATGTGAGCACAATGTGACCTCCACATGGAAAAAAAAAACGAAATGCACAAAAAACAGAGCAAACGAAAAAAATAAGTGAGAAAACTCTGATAGACAGTGTCCGATTTGGTGATACCCTTAATATATAGTAATATATATAGTTATAGTTATAGTTACATATATATATATATATATATATATATATATATACATATTAACTATGGGACTTAGTGTTAGTTCCCTATCCGACGTCTGCATTGGGGACTAACAAGTCCCATACTTAATATTTACCATCAAATCATTATACGAGTACCATAAACTGAGACAGAGATATTTAATATCTGAAGTTCGGCAACGCTTTTGAATGATCTGATTATTTTGCACAAGCTTTATCATAAGCAATAAATATACATAAACACGTGGAAAATTTCCTGTCTCTAGTTCTTTCAGGACATACATCACTCACATAGTCCCCATAAAGAATATTGTATCTGTGTACATTTGAACAAGTCGTTATACACTGAATCCTTTTTGCAATAGGTAAGGGTATAAAAATGAAAGTAAAAATAAAAGGATGTTAAAGTGTTGCAACAAGAACCTGGACTTATGCACTCATGCCGCCAAAGGGCTTGGCAAACAAGTAACTATATCAAAAATGAATAGCATGTTGTGGAGATCCGAAGGCACCCAGCCTAACCTTTCATTTGCCCAGACTCGTCTCATTGTCTAACAATGAAAAGGCTGCCACAGAGCGCTTTGTGCCACATGCGACTCGTGCCTCAGAAATATAATAAGGCAACAGCAACAAGGGCAAACAAACAACCAGAAGCACACACACAAGCCATGTTACCTCTGACGCACTGACTGACTGACTGACTGACTGAATGACTGAACGAATAGCCGACAGTGCCTTGCATCCCTTTGGCACAACATGTTCATCCTTAACCTCCTCAACGGCGTCCTCGTCGTCGTCGTCTTCATCATTGTCACCTTGAGCTTTGGGTTATTGGGTTTTTGCACACTCGTCCAAGCGTGCGCCTTGCGCTTCACTCGATCTCGGTGTGAAATACAGCAACAGCAGCAGCAGCAATCCCAATCTAGTTAGGCCACGAAAAATGTCAAATGCTCTACACAAATTCAAATATTGATGTACGCACTTTGAGAATTGTATTCTCCTCTTTCTTCATTCAATTCAATTGTGCAATAAATCATTTGTGCTTAAATACATTAAATACATTCTCAGTATGTTACTTATCTCAATAGATAAATAACTTTACTCCAATGCTCGTTAATTGTTTTGCCTTTTCTAAACCAGAAAGCATCAAAATTTAGCTGCCTTCGTAAATCAATATGCTCACATGTCTGTGTGTGAGCGAGGAACAAAAACGGCTGCAAACAAACAACTTTGACTTTGACTTTCTAGCTCTGCATTCACCCTGCACTTTAGACACCTCTAAGACCCTGCCTCCCCAGTACACTTATTCCAAATGTGTGAATGTGTGTGTCTCCCCCATAATCGCATGCAAAGGCCAACGAGCATCAAGTTGATAAATATTTGCTTTTCTCAAAATATTGTGATATAGTCTCGGGCACAACACATTCTCAAGATTTCACATTTATTTTCTTCAGTTTCATTGACTTTGTTTCGATTTAATTCTCTGAACCCATTGAAAATTGGAATGGAAGGTATAATTTTTTGAGAAAATATATGGCACATAAAGATTATACAAATATGTATATTGCTGATAAGAGCTAGTTGAGTCGATATTACCATGCCTGTCTGTCTATCTGTCCGTCTATCCGTCTATTCGTCTGCTTGAACGAGTCGATTTCAGAACCTATAAGAGGTTGAGAAAATTTATATTTGTTGTAGGTCCGTCTTTGTGGAGATGGAGTCTCCATCTCCTCGCATTTCCGTCTCCTGCACTCATAAATTTTTAATAACCGTATTTCAAATACTAGAGACTTATTAAAGCATAAGTTCTGTTTAGGGTCCACGGGATCTCGTAATCGAGCCGCTTCGGTTTTAGCCTCTTACTTATACTTACTGAATTTGTATAATTCCAGTAATCGGGTCTCTATTTGACCAAATTTGTGTAAAGCGGAATGATGCAGTACTGTTAGAGACTTTTCTATTAAATTTCCATTGTAATTTCAATGGGTTTTTTACCATAATAGAGTTTTACTTTTCAATTTTGTATTGATTTATTGTTAGGACATTTCTTTTGAAGAGCAATCAAGAAGCAATGGTTTACCACATATTTATGACCAAGGAAACTATTGCAACTATCGGAATCTCGCACTGTGAATAGCCATTATATTTGGTATGAACTTTCATGTATTCATATTGTATTTTATGTGGAATCTTAAATAAAACCGTAAAAATTGAATCGGCTATGCTGATAATGTAAGGTACCTTACCTAATCGATAAAAACAAGAGATGATTGGGACCAATGTATACTATTTTCAAGATTCAATCCAAGAAGTCCATAAAAAGTGTCTAGGAAAGACACAACACAAGTCGGATAAAAATATGATTGTCAACTGGAGCTTAATTATCAGCCTACAACTCCTTACTGCAATTGAGGTTGCTGCGTCCCAACGAGGAAATCTGCGCATTGTGGGAGGAAAGGTCCTTTCTATAGTGAAAGCACCCTGGCAGGTTTCAATACAAGTGGATAGGATTCATATTTGTGGCGGCTCTATTTTGAGCCCTTCTATAATTGTAACAGCAGCACATTGTGCGAGGCGGCTTAGACGCAAGAATTCACAAATTCGGGCAGGATCCAATTATTGGAAACGTGGAGGGCAGGTCGCTCAAATAAAAAAAATTACTGAGCATCCGAAGTTCAATGCCGTTACTTTTGAAAACGACGTCGCCATTTTGCATTTAAGTACGAAACTTAAATTTGGTCTGACCACAAATTCGATTCAGCTGGTAAGAAAAGCACCACAGAAAGGAGTTCGTGTGTCTGTTTCAGGCTGGGGTTTTACGAGAGAGAACGGTTTTAATCGTTCGCGGGATTTGCAATATGTGTATGTGAAAATTATAAGTCGCAAGTCTTGCCAGAACTCGGGACACGCTAAAAAAGGAACAAAAATAAGAACGGGCATGATATGTGCTGCCGGCAATAATAAAGATGCATGTCAAGGGGACTCTGGCGGCCCGTTGATTGGAGATGGAAAACTAGTTGGTATTGTTTCATGGGGCGTGGGATGTGCTAGAAAGGACTTTCCAGGAGTTTACACCGATGTGGCATTCTACCGGAAGTGGATATTAACAGGATCGAAAAAGAAAGTGTAAAAACTATATCTTTCAATTTATATGAAAGTATCTTTCGTATTCCTCTACAACTAGTAAGAATCCCCCACTAGATTTTGATCATCATATATCACCGAGCAGCAGTATGTAGTTGAGTTATCGATTTTCATAAACAAACTCTATATCCGCGTGAGGACCTAGGAAAAAACAAGTAATGGTGCTCTAGTCGAGACTGCTCGACTAGGAGATACCCTGAACCATGCAAAGAAATTCACTTCTTTTATACACATATAAAAAATCACAACTGCACAGTTAGCAGCGACTGTGCTTGGGTTGCAGTGCACTGAAGGCGTGGTCTCCAAAATCTTTAAGTTACAAAGCCGCTATATTTATTAAATATATACACAGTAAATCTGAAGTCTCCAGGTCTAAAGGTGCTCAAATTAGACTGAAAAAAAAAAAAATAAATAAAATAAAATTTTCGATTATTCTCGATAAAAAAGCTATCGGATAAGTCATCCAAAAAAATGTGATAAACTTTTACTGCGTATGGTACACATGAGTATGCTTGCAAAATTTCTCTAGTCTCTAGCTCTTATATCTTCTGAGATCAAGGCGTTCATACGGACGGACGGACCGGGCTTTATCGACTCAGCTGTCGCCCTGATCAAGAATATATATACTTTGTGGGGTCTGCCACGCCCCCTCTGCCTGTTACATACTTTTAACAAAACCATTATACCCTGATTTCCCATTTTCAATGGGTTCAGGGTATAAAAAGTCTCGAGCTTGACCAAATTTTTATAAAACTGAATGATGCAGCACAGTTAGAGATTAGATTAGTTAGAGAGAGTAGAGGCTCACCACATATTTAATCTTAACACAATGGATGCACCCTGACCTAGGAAACTATCGCAACTGTCCACTGTGAATATTCATTCTACAATATTTCGTGCTCTCAATACATTGTACAGCTTTATCTTATTGTGCGTGGAATCTTAATTCAAACTGTAGAATTTCAATCAGATATGCTGATAATGTAAAGTACCATGCCTAATGTACAACAAGAGATTCTTGAAGTCAATATATACTATTTTGAAGATTCAATCCAAGAAGTCCATAAAAAGTGTCTAGGAAAGACACACTACAATTCTGATAACAATATGATTGTCAACTGGACCTTAATTATCAGCCTACAACTCCTTAGTGCAATTAAGATGGCTGCGTCCCGCTCTCCTCGTTTTCGCATTGTGAGAGGAAAGATCATTTCTATAAAAAATGCACCCTGGCAGGTTTCATTACAAGTGGATAGAGCTCATGTTTGTGGCGGCTCTCTTTTGAGCCCTTCTGTAATTGTAACTGCGGCACATTGCACGCAAATATATAGTGCCGAGGAATTTCGAATTCGGGCAGGATCCAATTATTGGAACAGTGGAGGACAGGTCGTTCAAGTAAAAAAAATAACAGAGCATCCGATGTTCAATGCCGCTACTTTTGAAAACGACGTCGCCATTTTGCATTTGAGAGCGAAACTTAAACTTAATCGTTTCACAAAATCAATTCATCTGGCAAGTAAAGAACCACAGGAAGGAGATCGTGTGTCTGTTTCAGGTTGGGGCGCTACGCACGACAACAGTACAAATCGTTCACCTGTTTTGCTACATGCGAATCTGAAAATTATTAGTCGCCAGTCCTGTAGCGCATCCGGATATGCTAAGAAAGAGAGAGGAATTACAAGCGGCATGATCTGTACTTCGGGCAATCATAAAGATGCTTGTCAAGGAGATTCTGGCGGCCCATTGGTTAAAGGTGGAAAACTAGTTGGTATTGTCTCATGGGGCATCGGATGTGCTAGAAAGGACTATCCAGGAGTTTATACCAATGTGGCGCACTACCGAAATTGGATATTATCAAATAAGAACAATTAATATAACTCTAGTCTGGGGTGCCCGACTAGAATATCAGCTAACCGAATGAGCTGGTGCTTTAAGTATATGCATTTATGTGATTAGGAATGCTAAAAAGAAAAAAACAAAAGACTTAAATATGTTTTCGACAAAAATTCCCGTGGCATTCGAAATCGCACAATAGTCGAATAGCCTAGTCAAAAATAAAAGAGATAACCAAGAAATTCTAAAATCTAACGTGCACTTGCTCTGTCAATCCTTGTATTCATCATATTCAACAACACAGTAAATCTGAAATCCTTAAGTCTAACAAAATTCAAATTACGCTTACAAAATGAAATCAATTTATCGATTATTCTCGATAATCGGGTGAGTTATTGGATAAATATGATAGGCTCGTACTGCGAATGGTATATTGCGACAGAGTGATATGGCAGGATCGACACAGTTCGCCGCCCTGATCAAGAATCTATATACTTTATGGGGTCTGCCAGACTTCCGCTACATACATTTTCGCAAGAATATTATAAATTCATTTTCCATTTTCAATGGGTTCACGGTATGCAAATCAGTACGAAAAATTCCATACATCAGAAAACAATATAATATCATTCGAATACCTTACACGTTTGTGTGTGGGGTATGCACCAAAAAGGCAGCAAACAAACAAGTTTGACATTGAGTTTCACTCTGCACTTTAGACCCTCCGTCCCCAGTACTCCTGTTCCAATAATAAATATTTGCTTTTGTCAAAATATTGTGAGTCTCGGGTGCAGATGAGGCTTTTCTTTCACATTTATTTTCTCAGTTTAATTTGTGAAAACGGCAAACCCTGAAAATTATATTCTTGATATCTTAAACCAAGAGGTAAACTAAAATATAAAATTACACCTCAGTCAACTTTAAAGCTAGTCTCAAAATTATAGTTTCGTCCTTTTCTACCAAGTATCCAAAAAACGCATTTAATAGTATTCCAAATAAGCCCAAGAAAAAGAATCAATTTATCGAATAATGTCGATAAAAAGGAAATTCGATGACAAAGGAATTCGATGAGTTATCGAAATAATATTATAAACTTGTTCTGGGTATTGAATTGAAAATTACAGGGTATTTTTCGTTATGCCACGCCCCTAAAGAGGCGTAAAAATTATTTTTCTGGGAATCGATAGAGGAGGCTACCAGTAACTCAACTATCCAAATTTGAAGCTTCTAGCTATTATACTTTAGGAGATATCAACTTTTGCGGTTTGCCACGCCCCCTGTGGGCGGACATATATCCGACAAAGGTTTTTTGACATCTCTGGCATCAATAGTGTCCAAAATAGAGCAGAATTCGAAAAATTACTATATCTTCAGGTCCGATTTGCCACGCCCCTAATGGGCGTAGACTTATAATTTTATTTTTAGACTTTTGGAATCATAACATTAGCTGACATGCAAAATTTCAGCATTCTAGGCTTACAACTTTAGGAGATACAGTTTTTTTTTTGTTTTGCACGCAAACTTTTGCATGGCTATTTCGTGCAATATATTGCATTATTGTCTACACGTGTTTTCATTTTTTGTTTTTGTTTGCACTGCTTGCAAGTGACACTCATTTGCAAGTTCAGTTGAATTGAAAAATTCAAGGAATAACGACGTGTTTATATTATGTCGGCACAACAATCGAGAGTTGCTGCTGTTGCTATATTAGCAATTTTGATAAAACAAACAAGTAAGAAGGCTCCAGTCGAGACTGCTCGACTAGGAGATACCCTGAACCCTCCAAGCTGATATTCTAATCATTCTGGACTTCTTGTATGCACACATTCATAAACATGCACTTATAAGCACGCGCTCTGCTAAGTGCGCAGTTAGCAGCGACTGCGCTTGGGCGCTGCAGTGTGGGCAATATTATGAGAATTTATTTGTTGAATAATTTCATTTGTAGACATAAAATCTTAATGAAACTTTTAGAGCGTAATCATATGGTTAAAATGTAAGTACATTCCAAAGCACAAGTCTCTAGTACTTTAAATGCGTTTTTTACAAATTGGGGGCAAAGGGGGCGTAGTATCCAAAATCTGTAAACTACAAAATCTTTGTATCCATTAACTTTATATACAACGCAAATTTGAAGACTCCAGGTCTAAAAGTGTTCAAATTAGGCTAAAAAAAACAAAATCAATTTTTCGATTATTCTCGATAAAAAAGTTATCGGATGATTTATCGAAAAAATAAAGCAAACTCGTACTGCGTATGGTACACACGCATATGCATGCCAACGGAATATCGCGAGTCAATTATCTGACGAAGAGCGAGAAATCGCCCGAGAAGAGCGCCGCGTTAGTACCCAGCAAAGAAGGGCCTTAATTCGTGCTTCTCACAGAGAGGCAGCCCGTGAAACGGCAATAAGAAATGGTTCAAGGATTGATTTGAATCGAGCAGCGTTTCGATATGATTGCACCATTGACTACAGCTTGAATCGTTTAGTTTGCATTGGTCCAATAGACGTTGTTTGCCAGCATTGTGGCGCATTGAAGTTTGCTGGTGAAAAGCCCGGTTTGTGCTGCCTTAGTGGTAAGTGAAATTGCTATTAGTGGTCCCGCCACCAGAGCCATTGCGTTCCCTACTTTTCTAGCGAGCACTCAAAAATACAATGCCTGTTTCCAAATGACTTCATTTGGGGCGAAAATTATTGAAGAACACGGATATAATCCAACAATCGATGAAGTGGCAATCCTAATTGTTGCTGAAAACTTGGAAGCACGTGATATTGTGCTTACACGACGCAATACTGGGCAACTACAAAGAATACATATATGAAACGCACCGTTCATATGACGCGTTACAATACCCGCTGATGTTTTGGCAAGGAGACGGTGGATATCACTTTTATATCAAAATGATTAATCCATTGAATGGTAAGATCAATATCATTGTTTTCATTTTAACTTGATATACTTTGTATTCTGTTTGCTTTTGGTACATAAAAAAAGTTGTCACTCTTAATTTAGTAGAGAGTAGCTTATTAGGGGTTCTAAAATACAATTTTTACTGTATTTGTTTTAGGTGGGGAAACTACCAAGAAGGTTAGTTCGATGAATTATTACGCATATTGTTTGATGATTCGTGAAAGTTCTAACAATTATCTATATTAATATTTTTTGTATTATTGTATTACGTTCATAGAAGCCTAAATTAGTAAAACACGACATTACTTACTGATTTTAATACAAAAATTTGACAGCTCCGAAATTAAAGAACTTTTAGGGAAAATAACGTATTTCCCCAAATTTTTCAGTATTTTTAAAATACATACTGCTATTCGGGGCGGAGACAAATCCAACAAACCATGAAAATTGGTGCAGCAGATCTCGAATTATAAGTTTTGTAACAAACTCGACTTTGTTTTATATATATAGAGACTGTTAGGCGGTACGAAGTTCGCCGGGACAACTAGTATGGATATAAATATATAATAAAAATTAAAATTGTATAAATTATATATGTATGTAATTTGTATGCAATGATGCAATGATCATAGCAATAGCTATCGATGATTTTCCAATTTTAATGGGATCATGCCCTGTTTTTTGTTGCGCACTAGACTTGAAAATTGCACTATATACTCTGGTTGACAGCGTTTGGGCTGTGAATGAGTCTTCTGCAATCGGTATCGCCCGATTGCAAGTCGGGTCAAGTCAAGTCCCTAGCTCTTATATCTTCTGAGATCGGCGCGTTCAAACATACGGACATACGGACATACGGACATACGGACAGACGGACGGACGGACAGACGGACAGGGCTAAATCGAGTCAGCTCGTCGCCCAAGAATATATATACTTTATGGGGTCTGCCACGCCTCCTTCTGCCTGTTACATACATTTAACAAAACCATCAGGGTATAACAATTAAGAAGACTCTAGTCGAGACTGCTCGACTAGGAGATAACTTAAACCCTCTAATCTGATATTCTAATCACTCTGCACTTCTTTTCGGCACACATACATACACACGCATTAGAACGGGCTCTGCTAACTGCGCAGTAAGCAGCGACTGCGCTTGGGCTGCGCTGCAGTGTGGTCAACATTATATTTAATGAATAAATTAATTTCTAGACGTACAATATTAATGAAACTTTCAGAACATAATTATAATGTTCAACTGTATGTACATTCCAAAGCACAACTCTCTAGTTCTTTACAAAGGTGATGGTGAGGGGGTGGATATAGGGGTGGCGGGTAAATTACAGCAAAAATCGAAATTATATAAAATACATATAAGTCTTCATTTAAAATTTGGAAGCTCTAGCTCTAAAGGTGTAGCATGTATAATTAAATAACTAGCTTTCGATAAGGTATTTGATCGATAGTAAAATATCGGGAATGGTTATCGATATATAGAGAACAAGTAAGAAAGATCTAGTCGAGACTGCTCGACTACGAGATCCCCTGAACCCTTGGAGCAATAGCTATTTCAATAATTTTTCGCGTCTTTCAGCCAACACAAGAAACACGCACACACACACACACTTTCAGATTATAATTATAACATGAATATACATGTATTTGCCAAAGCACAAGTCTCTAGTATTTGAAATACGTTTTTTACAAAAGTGAGGGTGAGGGGGTGGACATAGAGGTGGGGGGTAAATTTTAACAAAAATCGAAATTGCATAAATTGCATATAAGCATACATTAAAAATTTGGAGACTCTAGCAATAAAGGTGTAGAAGATATATTTTATAACTGGTTTTCCATAAGGTTTTTTATCGATAAAAAAAGATCGGGAAGATCTCCAAATTTTTAATTTACGCTTACATGCAATTTATACAATTTCGGTTTTTGTTAAAATTTACCCCCCACCCCTATATTAACCCCCTCACCGTCACTTTTGAAAAAGGCGTATTTCAATTACTAGAGACTTGTGCTTTAGCAATTACATGCATATCTATGTTATAATCATAATCTAAAAGTTTCATGAAGATCGTATGTCCACAAAAAATGTTATTAAACAATTAAGTTCTCATAGTAAGCGCACACTGCGCCCATGCGTCTTTATGCTTGTGTGTGTATAAATGTTTGTGTATGTGTGTATAAATGTTTGTGTATGTGTGTATAAATGTTTGTGTGTGTGTGTGTGTGTGTGCGTGTTTCTTGTGTAAGCTGAAAGATGCGAAAAATTATTGAAATAGCTATTACTCCAAGGGTTCAGGGGATCTCGTAGTCGGGCTGTCTCGACTAGAGCTTTCTTACTTGTTTTATCTTAAGACTTTATAGAATCATAGCATTAGCTGACGTGCAAAATTTCAGCGCTCTATCTGTAAAACTCTTGGAGATACAGTTTTATCCGATTTGCCACGCCTTCAATGGGCGGAGATATATCCGCCATAGCTCGTGATCTAGGGTGGTCGACGAGGACCTACATACCAAATTTCAGCTATCTAGCTCTTCAAATAACATGATTTCTGGTATATCGGAAAATGCATTTAACACTTTATAAATCGGATATATACACGAGTATGTGTTCCAAATTTCAAGTCTCTAGCTTCAATAGCGACGAAATAGATTGCGTTCATACGGACAGACGGACGGACGGACAGCAAGACGGACATTGCACAAAACCAATATACTAATTCACTTTCGTGAATGGGTATAATAATTCACTTTCGTGAATGAGTATAAGAAGCCGACTACTCTTTCGCAGTCTTCACCTTAGTGACAGCACTAGCTATTGAGCTAAATTAAAGGTTGTCACCTATTGCCAAATCATGATAACCATTTAATGGTTGTTTCTCGTACTATCCACTGACATACGCTTTTTATACCCTGAGCCCATTTTCAATGGGAAATCAGGGTATAATGGTTTGGTTGAGATGTATGTAACAGGCAGAAGGAGCCGTGGCAGACCCCACAAAGTATATATATTCTTGATCAGGGTGACGAGCTGAGTCGACTTGGCCCTATCCGTCTGTCTGTCCGTATGTATGAACGCGTCGATTTCAGAAGATATAAGAGCTTGAGACTTCAAATTTTTTTTTTTAAATGTCCGTATTTACAGCGCGGATATCAAGTTTATCATTAAAAATCGATAACAGCCCGATCTTTTTTATCGATAAAAAACCTTATCGAAAACCAGTTATAAAATTATATCTTCTACACCTTTATTGCTAGAGTCTCCAAATCTTTTATGTATGCTAATATGCAATTTATGCAATTTCGGTTTTTGTTAAAATTTACACCCACCTCTATATCAACCCCCTCACCCTCACTTTTTAAAAGGCGTATTTCAAATACTAGAAACTTGTGCTTTGGCAAATACATGCATATTCATGTTATAATCATCTGAAGGTTTCATGAAGATCGTATGTCCGCAAAAAAAGTAATTAAACAAGTTCTCATAGTAAGCGCACACTGCAGCCCATGCGTGGTGTGTATGTGTGTGTGTGTATGTATGCATGCGTGTGTGCGTGTTTCTTGTGTAAGATGAAAGACGCGAAAAATTATTGAAATAGCTATTGCTCCAAGGGTTCAGGGGATCTCGTAGTCGAGCAGTCTCGACTAGAGCTTTCTTACTTGTTTTCCATTGAAAATGGGTTCTGGGTATAAAAATGACGGCTCACAACAACTGAAAGAAAAGTGACGCCGCATAGCTTAGAGAGCAAGAAACGAGCGCAAAGCTCGACGCATTAAAGAGAGCATAATAGCAGTGCAAATGCAAATTGAGCTTTGCAGAGCCGAGAAACAACATGGATCTTGACGTCACTCATAGACGTCACGACGCGTCGTTGGCCCGACCTACGATGGAATCGAACCTGCACGGTGCACCGCGATGTGATGTCCTGCTGCTCGCAGCTTTCTGATCTTATGCAACACTTTCATTCTATGTTGAAATTGAATTATGTGCAAGTATTGATTCTAGTGTAAGCAGAAAAATGCGTACAATTATTGAAATATCAGCTGCTCGAAGGGTTCAGGGGATCTGGTAGTCAAGCCGTCTCGACTAGACCTTTTATACTTGTTTTTAATCAAAAAAGTCTCGAGCTTGACCAAATTTTTATAAAACTGAATGATGCAGCACAGTTAGAGATTTTTCTGTCAAATTTCCACTATATTTTCAGTGGATATTTTAGTTCATTACCAGTATAGAGATATGTATGTCTGTCAAGTTTTGCCAGATTAATTTTTAGCAGTTTTCATTTTAATCAAAAAGTAGAGGCTCAGCACATATTTAATCTTATCACAATGGATGCACCCTGACCTAGGAAACTATCGCAACTGTCCACTGTGAATATTCATTCTACAATATTTCGTGCTCTCAATACATTGTACAGCTTTATCTTATTGTGCGTGGAATCTTAATTCAAACTGTAGAATTTCAATCAGATATGCTGATAATGTAAAGTACCATGCCTAATGTACAACAAGAGATTCTTGAAGTCAATATATACTATTTTGAAGATTCAATCCAAGAAGTCCATAAAAAGTGTCTAGGAAAGACACACTACAATTCTGATAACAATATGATTGTCAACTGGACCTTAATTATCAGCCTACAACTCCTTAGTGCAATTAAGATGGCTGCGTCCCGCTCTCCTCGTTTTCGCATTGTGGGAGGAAAGATCATTTCTATAGAAAAAGCACCCTGGCAGGTTTCATTACAAGTGGATGAGAGTCATATTTGTGGCGGTTCTATTTTGAGCCCTTCTGTAATTGTAACTGCGGCACATTGCACGAAAATGTTTAGTGCCGAAGACTTTCAAATTCGGGCAGGATCCAATTATTGGAACAGTGGAGGACAGGTCGTTCAAGTAAAAAAAGTGACGGAGCATCCGATGTTCAATGCCGCTACTTATGAAAACGACGTCGCCATTTTGCATTTGAGAGCGAAACTTAAACTTGATCACTTCAAGAATTCGATTCATCTGGCAAGTAATGAACCACAGGAAGGAGATTCTGTGTCTGTTTCAGGTTGGGGCGCTACGCACGAAAACAGTACAAATCGTTCACCTGTTTTGCTACATACGAATCTGATAATAATTAGTCGCCAGTCTTGCAGCGCATCCGGATATGCTCAGAAAATGAGAGGAATTACAAGCGGCATGATCTGTACTTTGGGCAATAATAAAGATGCTTGTCAAGGAGATTCTGGCGGCCCATTGGTGGAAGATGGAAAACTAGTTGGTATTGTCTCATGGGGCATCGGATGCGCTAGAAAGGACTATCCAGGAGTTTATACTAATGTGGCGCACTACCGAAATTGGATATTATCAAATAAGAACAATTAATATAGCTCTAGTCTGGGGTGCCCGACTAGAATATCAGCTAACCGAATGAGCTGGTGCTTTAAGTATATGCATTTATGTGATTAGGAATGCAAAAAAGAAAAAAAAAAGACTTAAATATGTTTTCGACAAAAATTCCCGTGGCATTCGAAATCGCACAATAGTCGAATAGCCTAGTCAAAAATAAAAGAGATAACCAAGAAATTCTAAAATCTAACGTGCACTTGCTCTGTCAATCCTTGTATTCATCATATTCAACAACACAGTAAATCTGAAATCCTTAAGTCTAGCAAAATTCAAATTACGCTTACAAAATGAAATCAATTTATCGATTATTCTCGATAATCGGGTGAGTTATTGGATAAATATGATAGGCTCGTACTGCGAATGCACTATAGGAAAAAAACCCGAAATTTTGGCATAAATACAATTTTTTTTTTTATCAATTTTTAACCTTTTTTTTTATTTTCCAATAATAAATATCTTAACTAATATAAAATGAATTTTTTAAAAATTTTATGGACTGCCCCTACTATATAACGCGGGGCTGCAAGTCAGCTGACCCAGAGTTGCTTTGTATGCAAAAAAAGGGCGGGAAAAATTGTGCAACTTTGAAGTTTAGTACTGCGGTAAATAAAAATAAAATTTATAACTTTAAAAATGGAAAACATTACTGATGGTATGTACTATAAATTGTCAATTCAAATTTTTGAGTTCATTTGTTTACTTGTCTAATTGTTCAATGTTTTGTTGTTGTGTATTTTAGCTAAAAAATAACAAAATAGTTCGTGTTTCGTGGAACATAACTTACAAATAGAGGAGACTAGTGATGAAGTTTAATTGCAAACGTGTTGTCTGAAACTTCTATTATTAGAGACTTTTAACCGTTTTTGCTCCTTTTTGCTCCATTTCGAAAAAATAACGTTTTTATAGCTAAGTATGAGTTTACGCGCTCAGAGCTTCTAGACGTATGGGCAAGCAACAATCGCCAAGCAGACGCGGTGAAATTGTTTATGATTGAAAAAATTAATAATAATGTGGATGAAAATGTAGAAAACAGTATTTCTACCCAAGTAGCCCAGTTTATTGCTTTTGTTAAAAGATATTTGCCCAGATGGAACCGTAATCTGCATAGATTCAAAGCAACACATTCACGGTGGGTCGAGGGCAAAATATTTATCAACTTAAAAGAAGTTAAGTCCTCGCAAGATAAAGCTGGCCGTAAAGAACTTACTTATGAAGAAGCAGGCAGTCGGCTGAAGAGAAAATTAGCTTCTGATCTTGCAAGTCAAGAAGAACACACAACCCAACTGTTTATACATGCTGCATCGGTTTCAGCAAAAAAATGCAAAGAAAATGATATGGCATTCGTTCTACGAAAAACAATGCACAGTGAGAATGCGAGTGAGATAAGAAAGAAAATAGAAGGAAATTTACCAACTTCTATAGAACCATCTGAAGCATTGGCTTTTCTTATTGAAAACGGGTTAACAAAAGAGCAGTATGGTAACATTAAGTTGATCTGTAAACAACACGGATGTGATATTTTCCCATCTTATTTGGAAGTAGTGAAAGCTAAGTTGAAATGCAGGCCAAATGGAATATCAATTTGTGAAAAAAAAGCGGAAGTGCCTTTGCAGAGCTTACTAAATCATACAGCAGATCGGATTCTAAAGCTGCAAGAGGATGTTTTAGAAGTAGTTCCAAATGCAACGCACTATAAATTAATAGTGAGCTACGGTTTCGATGGATCAACTGGGCAAAGCAGTTATAAGCAATATTTTCAGAGTGATGAGTACAATACAATGGATCATTCCCTTTTTGTTTCCACAATAATTCCCCTAAGATTGACGGATGAACATAACCGAATAATTTGGCTCAATAGAACACCGCAGTCAATTAGATTTTGTCGACCTTTGAAAATCGAATTTGTTAAGGAAACCACAGCCGTTATATTGAATGAAAAAAAATATTGGGAGGAGCAAATAAGAGGTCTTAGTGAGCATAAATATATATATAATAACAACGCAATATATATCCAGTATGATATGCATCTGCCCTTATTGACGGAAAGGTTTTGAATATTGTAACGGGTACAACGGTGTAAACCAAAACAATTGTTAGAGATTGCTGATTTTAACTCAGCGTGTTTTAAAGTGAATGAAAAAATCTTAAGTATGGATTAAGCCCACTTCATGCTTGGAAAAGATTTTTAGAGTTTGTGTTAAGAATATCTTATAAAAATGATTTAAAGAAATGGCGCATAAAGGAAGCAGATAAAAATCAAGTCGCAGCACGGAAGCAACAAATACAAGAAAAGTTATGGCTGGAAATGGGTCTTATAGTTGATAAACCCAAACAGAACGGTAGTGGAAGCAGTAATGATGGAAACACCGCCCGAAGAGCGTTTTCAGATCCTAGAAAGTTTTCTGACATACTAAATCTCAATTATGAAGTTATCAGGAACTTTCATATAATATTAATTGCTATCTCATCCGAACATTATATAAATAGCGATAAATTTAGAGCTTTCTGCGTCCGTACATTTGAAATATATATGAATAACTATTCGTGGTATCCCATGTCCCCAACTGTGCACAAAGTTTTGATCCATGGATACCAAATAATGGATAGCTGCATAGTTCCTGTTGGTGTTCTCGGAGAAAACGCATCAGAAGCTCGAAACAAAATTTATAAAAATGACAGAAGGTCGCATGCCAGAAAGAGCAGTAGGCTAAACAACATCACTGATGTTTTTCACAGGGCATTAGATTCATCTGATCCGCTTTTGTCAAGTCTCTGTCTTAAAAAAAGACAGAAGCTTCACAAAAAATTAAAATTTCCAAGCGAAGTGATTGATCTGTTTGCTCTGATTGAGCCTCCGCAAATCGCGCATCAATTTACAAATGAAACTGAAAGTTTAGAAGCTGAAGATGAGGATGAGGATGATGCAAACAATTTCGACCCGAATATCGAATTGGATGAAGAAAATTATGATTATTGATGTTAATTTTTGGAGATGTGGTAATTATTGTAAAATAAAAATACAACATTTTTTTTCATATTTTTCTTAATTTTACAGGGTATCAACGGAATGAAAATACACATTTTAATTTTTTTATTATATAATAAGCTGTACACATTTATTTTTATATGAAAATATGTAATGTAAGATATATATAATATATTTAAAAAATTTATGTCTGAAGTACACATGATTTCATTAATGGGTAACAAGAAGGCGGGGAGAAGGCGTGGTCAAATCGAAAAAAAAAAAATTCGAAATTCTAACTTAGTCTATCTTAGGTGTATGTAAAATTTCAACCTCCTAGCTCTATTTTTAGAATTGATGCCAAAATTTCGGGCTTTTTTCCTATAGTGGAATGGTATATTGCGACAGAGTGATATGGCAGGATCGACACAGTTCGCCGCCCTGATCAAGAATCTATATATTTACTTTATGGGGTCTGCCAGACTTCCGCTACATACATTTTCGCAAGAATATTATAAATTCATTTTCCATTTCCAATGGGTTCACGGTATGCAAATCAGTACAAAAAATTCCATACATCAGAAAACAATATAATATCATTCGAATACCTTACACGTTTGTGTGTGGGGTATGCACCAAAAAGGCAGCAAACAAACAAGTTTGACATTGAGTTTCACTCTGCACTTTAGACCCTCCGTCCCCAGTACTCCTGTTCCAATAATAAATATTTGCTTTTGTCAAAATATTGTGAGTGTCGGGTGCAGATGAGGCTTTTCTTTCACATTTATTTTCTCAGTTTAATTTGTGAAAACGGCAAACCCTGTAAATTATATTCTTGATATCTTAAACCAAGAGGTAAACTGAAATATAAAATTACACCTCAGTCAACTTTAAAGCTAGTCTCAAAATTATAGTTTCGTCCTTTTCTACCAAGTATCCAAAAAACGCATTTAATAGTATTCCAAATAAGCCCAAGAAAAAAAATCAATTTATCGAATAATGTCGATAAAAAGGAAATTCGATGACAAAGGAATTCGATGAGTTATCGAAATAATATTATAAACTTGTTCTGGGTATTGAATATACGTCAAATTTCAAGTCTCTGACTCTTATATCTTCTAACATCTCGGCGCTCATATGGATGGTCGGACGGACGGACATGGCGGACATATCGTTGCGTTCCCGAGAAATGATCGTATGTTGATTTTTTTCGAAATTGAGATTTTAATGCAGAACGGTTAGAAAACGTCTGTCTCACATGTTTACAAAAAATATAAAAATATTTTTATACTTATTCACGAAAGTGAATTATTTATACGCATTCACGAAAGTAAATTAGTATATTGGTTTTGTACAATGTCCCTCTATCGTCGGCGCTATTTAAGCTAGAGACTTAAAATTTGGAACACATACTCGTGTATATCTTCGATTTATAAAGTGTTAACATTTTCCCGATCCGCGCTCCGCCCGCAAATCGGAAAATGCATTTCCCGATATACCAGAAATCATGTTAGTTGAAGAGCTAGAAAGCTGAAATTTGGTATCTACGTCCGCGTCGACCACCCAAGATCATGAGCTCTGGCGGTATTATCTGCGCCGATTGGAGGCGTAACAAATCGGATAAAACTGTATCTTTTAAAGTTGTAAATCTAGAATGCTAAAGTTTTGCACGTAAGCTGATGTTTCGATTCTATAAAGATGGGTAAAAAATTTATATATCTACACCTACTAGGGGCGTGGCAAATTGGACCTGAAAATATTGTGCAAACAAACAAATCTCCTACAGTTTAAGAGTTAGAAGCTTCAAGTTTGGATAGTTGAGTTACTAATGGCCTCCTCTATCGATGCCCCAAAAATAATTTATACGGCTCTTTAAGGGCGAAAATACCCTGTAATTTTCAAATTTTTTGAGCGAAAGAATTCAAATTTTGCATTTAGGTTAGCGGTTGCTCGTTCGAAGAACTGGCCATCAGGAGTCTACGGGCACTAGGGGCGTGGCAATCGGCATTTATATGCGTCAGCCATCTATTAATGTATTTGTACATATAAATAAGCTTAATAGATATTCATTATACGGAAAGAAACATTTTTATGAAATTTAAAAAATATAAAAAAGCTAAAATAACAAAAAACGAGCTTTCCGCGGGATTTGAACTCGCACCCAAGCCAAATAGCATGTTCATGTCAAAATAACTAAAATAAAGATCTCCGGCGCTTCTGCCTACAGCACCACCGCGTCGTTTCGAACAACAAAAATCACATTATTGTTATGACGCCACATAGCAAAGAAAAGCCAGTGTAGCGGCTGGAAAAACAATGCAAAGACAAATCAATCGCAACTGAGATTCTTATAATATGCTAGAGTACGCATTTATGTGTACATACATACACACATACAAACGAGCGCGTGTATAAGGCTGGAATGCTTAATGATATGCGTGCAGACTTATATATACATATTTACTTATAAAATTGTTCCACTAAGAAAAAGAAAAGTATTTATAGCCGTTATATGTAATTTGAAGATGATTCAATGATGATAGCAATATCTATCGATGATTTTCCAATTCTAATGGGATCATGCCCTGTTTTTTGTTACGCACTAGACTCGAAAATGGCACTACTCTGGTGGACAGTTTAGGCTGTGAATGAGTATTCTGCAATCGGTATCGCTCGACTACCACGTTCTTACTTGTTTTTCTAAGTAAAGTTAACTATATTTAACGGGAATTTCTTTTTCTTTTTATTTGTGCCGTTATTTCTTGGGTATTAATATACTTTGATTAAGCAGATAAGAAGCGAAAGCTGGAATTAGTGTTAAGTTGAGTTTTAGGGCATCAACTTTCAGATTATGAATATAACATTAATATGCATGTATTTGCCAAAGCAAAAGTCTCTACTATTTTAAATACACCTTTTACAAATGTGAGGGTGAAGTGGTGAATTAGGAGTGGGGGTAAATTTTGACGAAAATCGAAATTCCCTAAAGTACATATAAATCTACATTAAGAATTTGGTGACTCTAGCTTGAAAGATGTATGCGATATAAATATATTACTGTTTTTAATCGATAACAAAATAACGGGACCAGTTATCGATATTTAAAGCAAAACTAGATAGTCGCCCGGATCAAGAATATATATACTTTATGGGGCTACATACATTTAACAAAACCATTATGCCCTGATTTCCCATTTTCAATGGGTTCAGGGTATAAATATACAAGGTATAAATTCAGGGTATAAGTATACAAAATCAAGTCTGAGCCTCTATTGCGATAGTACCGCTGACCAAAATAAAAACATGGCTGTGTTGCTGTTTTAGCACATTAAATTAAATTATTCAAACAAAAATTATTTAAAAATCAAACTTGAATCAAAATATTAATAGTTTATATAGGAGTAAGTTATGTGTTTCAGAAAAGAAGATTAAGATTTAAGAAATCTATTTAATGGAAATAGTATACCGCCTAAATATCATAGTGAATATCTAAATCTTCAAAATTGTATAACAATCCCAGATTGCTTAGACGAAACCGATGAAGAAGATGAAAACTGAAGAGGTGTCTCAAACTGAAAAAGAAAAATTTATATGAATTCTTGGCTTATATTTAATAAAAACAAAAAGACTTTTAAAACATTCTTTTTACAAATAAACAAGCTTTTTTTTCATATCGTATGTTGAATTTCCATTGCCTTGCACCAAAAACATGACGCGCGAAACAATCGTATGTTTAATTACCTTGCTGTTGCAAACAAAATTGGCGGTAATGCAACAAAATTGTATATGCTTTTGCTATTACAACTATAGAATAAAAACTTATAAAACAAGTAAGAAGGCTCTAGTCGAGACTGCTCGAGATACCCTGAACCCTCCAAGCCGATATTCTACTCATTCTACACTTCTTTTACGCACACATGCATACACACGCATCCACATGCACATATAATCACGCGCTCAGCTGACTGCGCAGTTAGCAGTGACTCCGCTTGGGCTGTGCTGAAGTGTGAGCAATAATATGATAATTTATTAGTTGAATAATTTCTTTTGTAGACATACAATCTTAATTAAACTTTCAGAGCGTGATCA